AGCAGGAATAATTTAAAATGGCCATTTTGCAGAAGAGGAGTGTCTGTACACACCTAATTTCAAAATAGCTGTTTCGGAATAGGCATTATTCTTTGCAGAATGAGGTTTACAGAAGTCAGAATGAGCCGTCCATTCTTTTGAAATGATTTCGCAATAGCAGAATTGCGGGGTAGACTCTCACATAGTTATTTCAGAATGACGGCCATTATTCCAAAATAACTTTGCTGTCTAGACACACCCCAGGTGAGCTGGAGATCAGAGATCATGGTTGCTTCTGTGAACGATCTCCATGCGGAAAAGGGGCCTGGTGAATAAAGAATAAATCAGAGGCTGATTTTAAAAAGTTAGGACTTGGGGGGAGGGGAGGGAGAGGATAGATTTATCTTTCTGTACCTCGTGCCCACCAATGGATTCCAGAGAAGTTCATGAAGACCCAGCCGGGGGGAGGGAGGAAGAGAGGGGGAAGCTGCATGCCAGTCTGACTTGGGGGTGTGGAGGGCTGAGCACACAGGGTGCGGGGCTGCCCTGCATCAGCCGCACTATAGTACATGCAGGGGTTAATATTGACACGCGAGGGTTCAGAGCAGCCTTGGCAGCAAAGCTTAAATCATCCCCCAAAAAGAAAGGGCCAACAGAGCCCAGGGAGACGCGCCCGCCCACGCAGAGCTAAGCCGGCATCTTGGATCGGCACGTTAATGAAATTGGCGGGTTTATGTAGTGAACACAACCCCCCACACACACCCTTCCTGGGCAGGGGTTAGCTCCCTGGCACTAGGGGAAGCGGGGCGTGCAAATGTCAGAGTATTTGACGTTCCCCCTGCGCTATTCCTGGCAGATTTTGCATCCAAAGCAAACAGCCAATGACCCTCCTCCCCGGCCCTGTAGCCTGCAAGCTAACCCCTCCAGGCACTCGGTCAGGACCAGAATTAAATCCCCCAGCGCAGGGGCTGTTGCTACGGTGGGAGGTGCCTTCGGGGCCCTTCATGAACATGGTGTTGATCTAAAAGTGTGTGTGTGGGGGGGCAGCGTTAGACACGCCACGCACTCCAGGATCGGGCCCTTGGCGTTCTGATGGGGTGGGGAGGAGAGGAATACACATTTCGGAAGCGAATCCAGAGCAGGCCAATGCTCAGAGCACTTCTCTGTGGTGGGGCAGGGCCTGCTGGGGGACACCCCGGCACCTCCCCTCTCAGCGCTGGCTGGCAGCAAGGAGGGGCCTTCAGACCCGTTTCCACAGACGTTCGCTGAGTCAGCGGGCCCTTGGCGTTCTGATGGGGTGGGGAGGAGAGGAATACACATTTCGGAAGCGAATCCAGAGCAGGCCAATGCTCAGAGCACTTCTCTGTGGTGGGGCAGGGCCTGCTGGGGGACACCCCGGCACCTCCCCTCTCAGCGCTGGCTGGCAGCAAGGAGGGGCCTTCAGACCCGTTTCCACAGACGTTCGCTGAGTCAGCGTGTCCCGCGGGGTCCCAGCATGCAGCCTGCCCCGGGGGTCACAAGGGGGCTG